GGACTCGGTTGAGAGACGGAACCAAAGAGCCAAAGCTCAACCCGCACAATTACAACTGGGTGAGTACTCGCAGAGATCAACCCGTCTCTCCGTCTATCCATCCTTCTACTGATCACTCTCTCTATCCATCTATCTATCTATCCATTCATCCACCTATCCATCTATCTAATGCCAGTCTTTGGGGGGCAAGCTTTACTAGTCCAAGACTAGACTAGTTCTAGACTTTACTAGACTAGTTTTACTAGCTTGTGGGCAAGCTTTACGTCTCGGTAACACTAGTAAAACTGGGGGGCAAGCTTTACTAGTCCAAGACTAGACTAGTTTTAGACTTTACTAGACTAGTTTTACTAGCTTGTGGGCAAACTTTACGTCTCCACAACACTAGTAAAACTAGTCTAGTCTTGAACTAGTAAAGCTTGCCCAGCCCTGAAAAACCTTAATATTAACCCAGTGTTCAAAAATAGTAATACAGTTAATTCCATGTTAATTAAGAACTCGCCCTCGTCTGTAGCAGGTTGTGTTTACTCCATCCCGTGTAAATGAGTGTGCATGTGTTTACATCATGAAAAAGGACGTTTTACAAACAAGCTCCCAAATCAAAGCCAGAAATAAAAAGCTCGTTGGAATTACCATATTTTGATTGACTCGTAAAGCTAACCTCAACCATAAAAAACCTTAATATTAACCCTTAATATGAACCTTAATATAATAACTTGTGCAAGTTAATGTGTTACAATTGTGGCTCGTGTTCTCTACCGTAGGTCTCCTTGGTGTAGTGGTAAGACACCGGCCTAGCGTTTTGCGAGCGCTTTGTCCTGGGTTCGTTTCCTGGCCGGGGAGGATTTACTGGGCACAAATTTTTAACTGTAGCCTCTGCTTAACTCAACAGTAAAATGGGTACTTGGTTGTAAAAACGATTCTTCATGGGTTTCGTATTACAGGGACCATAGGATTAAGGACTTGCCCGAAACGCTAAGCTTATTAGTGGCTGTACAAGAATGCAACAACTCCTGTATATATCTCTCAAAAATAAGTGAAATGTGTCAATTAAAACGAACTTATGTCTGTGGTTACTTGGTACTGTTGGGTCATTGGATAAATAGCTTCGGCTTCCAATGACTTTTAATAGTCTAGTAGCCATTTGGTCCGAGTACAGGACTTGGCAAGGAGTTTCATTGCTCCTGTCAGTCTAGATTTGAATATTTCATGGAAGGAGTCCTTTCTTAAGACTTTCTTAAGTTTTTCTTAAAACATATATGTATGTATGTATGTATGTATATATATATATATATATATATATAGGCACAACTCTCCTAAACACGAGAGTCAAGTATACAACTTTAGAACACTTTCCCACCAGGAGACTCGAACCCTAGCCAGCACAGAAGCCTTCCAGCAACTGGCATAACAGGTACGCCTTAACCCTCTCCACCACCTGCTCAGACCCTTAAAAGAGATGGTAATTCGGAGTATTTAAATACCACAAAGATCGCCACCTCCCAAGAGCACTAGAGCAAGTGAGGGGTCATTTAGACGTTAATTTCATCAAGTTAATTTCAAGAAATCCGGACTCCACCTGCCAAAGATCATTGGGGAATATAAACCTGGATATGCGTATGGAAATGTCAAGACGCACAAGCCTGGAAACCCACTTCGGCCAATCATTAGCCAGATACCCACACCCACGTACAGACTGGGCGAAGCGACTCAACGGCCTGCTGACTCCTTATGTTCCTTGCGCCTTCAGCCTGAAGTCTCCAAAGGAATTGTGGACTTACTGCGGGGCGCACGGGCCACAGGGATAAGAGCCTCGTTGGACGTAGAATCGCTGTTTACCAACGTACCTGTGGACGAGACAATCGGAATGATAGCCGACAGAGTGTATCGTGATCCAGCCTGTACTCCTCTTGACATGCCAGAAAGTATTCTGAGGAAACTACTCCAAGCTTGTACTAAAGAGGCACCCTTCTTGAGCCCGGATGGGCACATGTATAAGCAAGTAGATGGGGTCGCCATGGGTTCTCCCCTAGGTGTCCTGTTTGCAAACTTCTACATGGGTACCATCGAGCAAAAAGTCTTAGTCGACATGAACTTGAAACCGGCCATATACTGCAGGTATGTTGACGACATTTTTACACAGGTACCTGATGTCAGACATCTGCAGGAGCTGAAGGAGGCATTTGAGCAGAGTTCCGTGCTGCGTTTCATTAGGAGACGGAAAAGGATGGGAAGCTGCCTTTTCTAGATGTAACAGTCATGGAAAAGGGCGGAGGTTTCCACACTGCAGTCTACACAAATGAAACAAACATAGGAATGTGCCTAAATGCCAACAGCGACTGCCCTGACAGGTACAAGAGGAGTGTTGTTAACGCATACGTCGACCGTGCTCTCAGCCACAGCTCAGAATGGAAGCAAGTCGACGAAGAACTCTGTAGGGTAAGGCAGGTCCTAGTCAATAACGGCTTCTCCAATGGTTTCATCGAAGACATCATAAGAAGGAAAGTGAAAAGCCATGCAACCTCCGAAGAGACAACTAAACACAACACCTATACCCCCTATTAGACTATTTTACAGGAACTTCTTTTCCACAGCTCATAAAACAGAGGAAAGGGTCCTGAAAGATATTGTTAATAGAAACGTTATCCCTACAGACAAAAATCAGAGGATACAACTGACGATTTACTATAAACCAGAAAAACGGCCAGCCTACTCATGAGAAACTCTCCAGACACAAAACAGAACGCTTTAAAAGAGACTAACGTCGTCTATGCCTTCAAATGCCCACTTGGGGACTGTAAGCTCCAAAAAACCCAGTATATAGGCAAGACAACAACATCTCTTTCTAGGCGTTTAACGATGCATAAACAACAGGGCTCCATTAAGGAACATATAATCTCTTCCCATAACCAAACCATCGCCAGAGAAATCCTAGTAAACAACACAGAAATCATCGATAGATACAGCGATAGCAGGCGGCTTGACGTTTGCGAGGCACTACACATCAAGAAGTCAACACCAGCAATCAACAGCCAATTATTGCACAACTATATTCTACCCACCTCAAGACTCCGCTCCAATATAGAAGCATCAAGAAATATGGACCAATAGGCTTTCTACAAACACTTCTATTCAATACCCATTGTTTCTGTTCTGTCTTGTGTTGATACTTTTAATACCCTATTAATATCCCCTAGTGTTCTGTCTTGTGTTAATGCCACATCACCCTTCCCACCTCACTCAAATGTAATGCCACATCACCCTTCCAACCTCACTCAAATGTAGATATAAAATCAGGGAAACGCAAGTTCTAATCAGTTGTGTATTTGTGAAGTCTTTGAAAATGTAATAAGTTTTATGAAACGCGCCCATGTCGCGTCAGACTAGAAATAAAAATGAATTTTGGAGAAGTGATTTTTGATTTACCTCCAACAGTGAAGCGTAATGTACGAAAGATTGAGAAAATTCGTGTTAGAATTATTAATCTTACTTTTTCGGTCATATTTAATAATATATATATATATATATATATATATATATATATATATTATATATATATATATATATATATATATATATATATATACATATATATATATATCTGTGTGAATTGGTTTAAATCCGTATATATGATATTCCGGTAGAAGTTCTCTGTTTCTACATTCATCCATGTTTCGGTAAGTGTAATAATATCTACTCTTTCTGTGCAAACAAGAGCATTTAAATTGTTTTTTTGCTTCTTCGACTCCTATTGTTTGTGTAATATACCCTAAGTGTGTCATTATTTTGATACCTTCTCTTTCCCTTATTCATTTTGCTAATTTGTTCTCTTCACAAACACATACCTTTATTACCTCCATTCTCCATATCAATACCCATACCACTATCTACTAACAGTTTAAACAAAAACAAACCCTTCCAACCTCAGATTCCAACGAGTTAGCAACAGCAACAAACCCAGCCATAGATAGATGCACCCATCCCGAGCATTCATGGTATTGCTTCCATAAACGTGTTCCAGTTATCAACCAGGGGGCCTCCACCAGGGGGTGGAGGCCTGGTCGAGGACCTGGCCGCGGGGACACTAAAAAAGCCCCGAAATCATCTCAAGATTACATATTCCAGGCGGCCTCTTCCTCTTACATATACCAGATGGCCTCTCCCTCTTACATATACCAGGTGGCCTCTCCCTCTTACATATTCCAGGCGGCCTCTCCCTCTTACATATACCAGGCGGCCTCTCCCTCTTACATATACCAGGCGGCCTCTTCCTCTTACACATACCAGGCGGCCTCTCCCTCTTACATGTACCAGGTGGCCTCTCCCTCTTACATATACCAGGTGGCCTCTCCCTCTTATATATTCCAGGTGGCCTCTCCCTCTTACATATACCAGGTGGCCTCTCCCTCTTATATATTCCAGGTGGCCTCTCCCTCTTACATATACCAGGTGGCCTCTCCCTCTTATATATTCCAGGTGGCCTCTCCCTCTTATATATTCCAGGTGGCCTCTCCCTCTTATATATTCCAGGTGGCCTCTCCCTCTTACATATACCAGGTGGCCTCTCCCTCTTATATATTCCAGGTGGCCTCTCCCTCTTATATATTCCAGGTGGCCTCTCCCTCTTATATATTCCAGGTGGTCTCTCCCTCTTACATATACCAGGTGTTATGTAATCTGGTCTCGCCCCGAGGCCTCATGTTAATGACTTTGGATCCTTGAAGTTGTCTAGATCTCTGAGTCAGCTTGAAATATTGTGAATAACTTCTTAGAATCAGTCAATATGGTTCAATATGGAGCCACAGGTGGGGGTGGGAGAGCCACAGGTGTGGGCTGAGATGCGAGCCACAGGTGGGGGTTAGGAAGGGAGGGGCGACAGGTGGAGGTGAGAGGGGAAGAGGCCAGGGGTAGGGTGAGGGGGTGCGCGGATGGTTGTGCTGGTCTGGGGGGGGGGGGATGAAGCTTGCAGTGGGTCGTCCTCCCCTCACTGAGGCTAGTGTCTCTCTGCCCGCCCTGCCTCACACTGCTGACGCCTCCTGCCCCACACAGTTGACGCCTCTTGCCTCACATTTCTGAAGGCTCCTGCCTCACACTGCTAACAGTTCCTGCCTCACACTTCTGACGGCTCCTACCTCACACTGATGAAGGCTCCTGCCTCACCCTGCTGACGCCTCCTGACTCACACCGGTGACGGTTCCTGACTCATACGTCAACTCTGCTCTCTTTAACACTCAGCTCCTAAGCCTCCTTTAAGGTGAGTCTCTATTTAAATAAAAATGTAAATGTTCGTTTGTTCAAAATCGCTAATCTCCGAAAGTTCTTCACCGATTGCTTCGAAATTTTCACATGTTCCATTCGCATCTGAGCGTATTTGTATATACATAATATAAAGATGTCACGTCTGTGACGGGAAAAAAACAGTTTTTTTTTAAATTGTATCTTTCATGTGTTTTTCATGTGAGGGAAATCTTCGAAACTTCTTTACCGATTGCTTTGAAACATGACTTACCTGTGACAGGAAAGATAACATGCTTTTTTTGAAACACAGCGCCAACTGTAGCACATAAGAGAATCACACGCTATACTAAACATGCTACAATTGCATTTCAATGTTTCCGATTGCGTTGACAAATTAAATTTTCATAGATTTCGATTTATTTTCATTTTGATTTAATTATTTTGTGTGACATTGTGTTGGAATTGAGCTGTGTTGTTTACCATACCATTTATTTCGTTAGTATAGTTTTTTCATTGTTTTCATTTTGATTTTTTAACTGCTTTTCTTTCATCTCAGTGACGTGTATTACCAAATACACGATTACCAATTACAATTACCAATTATCAGTTACATCAGATCATTTGATGTCCCCAAGTTTTTTATGGGAACATCAGACCATTTGGGAATGCATCCGATGAGTGGGGAATGGTGGGGAGGATGAAGGGACGGAAGGGGGGGGGGATGGTGGGGAGGACGAGGAGACAGGGGAGGGGTAATGGTGGGGAGGACGAGAGAACGTAGGAGTTGGAGATGGTGTGGACGAGGGGATAGGGGAATGGAGAATGGGAACGTCAGACCATTTTGGAATGCATGGGGGTGTGGAATGGTGGGGAGGACGAGGGGACGAGAGTTGGGGAAGGTGGGGACTAGGGGACAGGTCAATTGAGAATGATGGGGAGGACAAGGAGACAGGGGAGTAGGGAAGGTTGGGTGCACGAGGGGACATGGGAGGGGGGGGAGGGAATATTAGGGAGGATGAGTGGAGAGTGGAGTGGGGAATAGTTAGGAGGATGAGGGGACAGGGGAAGGGGAATAGTGGAGAGAACGAGGGAGTGGGAAATGGTTGGGAGGACGAGGAGACGTGGGAGTAAGGAATGGTTGGGAGGACGGGGGGGGGGGGGTCGGGCGAGGGGGGGGGAATAGTGAGGGAGGACTTTGACACAGGGGAGGGTTGCTGAGGTTCAGCAACGCACATGCGTAGCTAAGCCACAGCAATACATGGCCGGGTACAGCTAGTAACTAATATAATAACAGTTAACTGAATTTGTTTAACTTACTCACAGTATTGTGGAACCCATGGTGTCCAAAGCAGTATTGTGGAGCCAATGGTGTCCCAAGCAGTATTGTGAAGCCCATGGTGTCCCCAGCATCATTGTGGAGCCTATGGTGTCCCCAGCAGTATTGTGGAACCCCATGGTGTCCCCAGAAGTATTGTGGAGCCTATTGTTACCCCAGCAGTATTGTGGATCCCATGGTGTTCCCAGAAGTATTAAGGAGCCCATGGTGTCCCCAGCAGCATTATGGAGCCCATGATATCCTCCAGCAGTATTGTGGAGCCCATGATATCCCCCAGCAGTATTGTGGAGCCCATGATATCCCCCAGCAGCATTATGGAGCCCATGATATCCCCCAGCAGCATTATGGAGCCCATGATATCCCCCAGCAGTATTGTGGAGCCCATGGTGTCTCCAGCAGTACTGAGGAGCCCATGGTGTCCCTAGCAGTTATGTTGATCCGATGGTGTCACCAGCAGTGTTGTGGAGCCCATGGTGTCCCTTGCGGAATTGTTGATCCCATGGTGTTCCCACCAGTATTGTGGAACCCATGTTGTCGCTATTAGTATTGAGGAGCCCATATTGTCGCCAACAATATTGAGGAGGCCCAATGGTTTCCCCAGCAGCATTGAGAAGGTCATGGTGTTCACGGCAGTATTGTGGAGCCTGTGGTGTTCACAGCAGAATTGAGGAGCTTATGGTGTCGGGAATTTAGATCTACAGTATAATATCAAATGTTTCGAAGGACCAAATAATTTATATTAAAGAATTAGAGAACCAGTGACTTATGGAACTCCTATAATGAATATATATGAATGAAATCAAATAAATCTAAATAAATGAACTGGAAATTAACATAAACTTTAGATCTATTCCTTTCACATATTTTTGGGGGTGGAATATTGAGATGGTAATGCACATCTATTAATGAAATAATACATATAAATAATAATTTGATTATCAATAATGATAAACATCTATCTACAATAGGAATACTGGAAACGGCTTAGCTGCCACGAATGATAGTAGATCGTGTCCAGCCTCTACAACACGTTCATTCCAGTCCAAGTTAGCTATCCGTGGGAATACATGATTCTGGATGCAGAAACACGTCTCTCTCGGTCTGAATTCCACACTGAAAGGAAAATCTTATGTAATTTCCACTCCAAACTTAGTATTCGTGCATTTAATCGAATAATCTAAAGAAATTGGAGGGGTAAGATCAATACTTGATCAGCATCAGTTTATTGTATCGCCGCCGTGTCTCAGGGTAACCCTACACGAGTGTCTCAGGGTAACCCTACACGAGTGTCTCAGGGTAACCCTACACGAGTGTCTCAGGGTAACCCTACACGAGTGTCTCAGGGTAACCCTACACGAGTGTCTCAGGGTAACCCTACACAAGTGTCTCAGGGTAACCCTACACAAGTGTCTCACGGTAACCCTACACGAGTGTCTCAGGGTAACCCTACACGAGTGTCTCAGGGTAACCCTACACAAGTGTCTCAGGGTAACCCTACACAAGTGTCTCACGGTAACCCTACACGAGTGTCTCAGGGTAACCCTACACGAGTGTCTCAGAGTAACCCTACACGAGTGTCTCAGAGTAACCCTTCACGAGTGTCTCAGAGTAACCCTACACGATTGTCTCAGGGAAACCCTTCACAAGTGTCTCAGGGTAGCCCTTCACGAGTGTCTCAGGTTAACCCTACACGAGTGTCTCAGGGTACCCTGCACGAGTGTCTCAGGGTAACCCTACACGAGTGTCTCAGAGTAACCCTTCACGAGTGTCTCAGATTAACCCTTCACGAGTGTCTCAGGGTAACCCTACACAAGTGTCTCAGGGTAACCCTACACGAGTGTCTCAGGGTAACCCTACACAAGTGTCTCAGGGTAACCCTATATGAGTGTCTCAGGGGAACCCTACAGAAGTGTCTCAGGATAACCCTACACAAGTGTCTCGGGGTAACCCTACACAAGTGTCTCAGGGTAATCCTACACAAGTGTCTCAGGATAACCCTACACAAGTGTCTCGGGGTAACCCTACACAAGTGTCTCAAGGTAACGCTTGTTACGAACCCGGATCCGACGTCCGAGCACGGAGCAGTAACGACCGCGCCATCTGTGGGTCAGCTCCCCAAACCCCCTCCAAACGAACGACGACACCTGGTGAGGACGACGTATATTGGCCACAAGGGCCAGTTTCCAGTCCTGTGCAGCGCTCAACACAGCCGCTGCTGACCTCTGGTGAGGTGGTGCTCAGACACCAGCGCCATCTATGGAGTGGATAGGTGGGCGTTTGTGTCTGAGCCTGTAAGTGAGGTGCCTTAGTGTGTCCCAGTTATTGATGACGTGTCTGTTTACAGAGTCGACCTGGGACTGCTGTGATGGAAGTCGAGTCAGTCTACCCGAGGCAGCCGTCTCCAAACCTTGAGTTTTGCTGCAGCAGTTGCGAAGTCGTCCCCCCCGGAAGAACACTGTGGTGTGTTAGCCTGCCAGTGGAGTGGCAGTAAAAGGTTTACCCGGGACCGACTGTTGGAGACGATCGTCCACTGGGGTATTGAGGACGGGAGAGTGACTTGTGGTGTCACACGAGGCTCCTGTCCAGGGCGTTCCCCTTATATCGTTCGTGGAGTGGCCTGACCAGCCTTGCTGTTCCGGAACCTGCCAGCAGACCAGCTGGACGTGTGGTTGATGGCCTCCATGGCGGTGCCCCCAGTGGACCTGTGTTTTGGCTGACCTGTGGCCAGGGTAGGCTCAACTTCGCAGAGATTTCATTGTGAGGCCACGAAGAAGCACCGAGGACTCAGCACCGAGCGTCTGGATCCAGAGTCTTCAGTTAGAAGACAATTGTGTGAACAATCCCCTTGTATAGTGTTAATACCCCTCCCCCTGTGTACTCCGTTTATATATTTATTTGGTGATGGTAATTATAATCTTAAGTTCTTAACGTTCTTTCCCTTCCCCCTTTAAGTTCCTTGCGTCACGGATCACATCCCTTGATAGCCACTACTGGCTTGGGAACGGATATATATCTTCCTCTAACAACATCAGAGTTAAAACCCCGTTGCGTCCCGAGAGGGCTGTAACAACGCTATATGAGTGTCTCGGGGTAACCCTACACGAGTGTCTCGGGGTAACCCTACACGAGTGTCTCGGGGTAACCCTTCACGAGTGTCTCAGGGTAACCCTACACAAGTGTCTCAGGGTAACCCTACACGAGTGTCTCCGGGTAACATTACACGATTGTCTCAGGGTAACCCTACACAATTGTTTCAGGGTAACTCTATATGAGTGTCTCAGGGTAACCCTACACGGGTGTCTCTGGGTAACCCTACAAAAGTGTCTCAGGGTAACCCTACACAAGTGTCTCAGGGTAACCCTACACAAGTGTCTCAGGGTAACCCTACACAAGTGTCTCAGGATAACCCGACACAAGTGTCTCAGGGTAACCCTATATGAGTGTTTCAGGGTATCCCTACACAAGTATCTCAGCGTAACCCTACACGAGTGTCTTAGGGTAACCCTACTCGGGTGTCTCTGGGTAACCCTACACAAGTGTCTCAGGGTAACCCTACACAAGTGTCTCAGGGAAACCCTACACAAGTGTCTCAGGGTAACCCTATATGAGTGTCTCAGGGAAAACCTTCACGAGTGTCTCAGGGTAACCCTCTGTGAGTGTCTCAGGAAACCCTACACAAG